CATATTTTAAAAGATGCGCACACACACACACTGGTTTACATGCAGACACAATATAAACATCTTGCATAATTTGAAGGGAGACTTTGGGGCAGAAAACATTTGTGTGTTTTATTAACTTTTTTTTCTTTTGGAAATGTTGTGTGTTGGTAATTGGCTCCAGCTGTACCCATAAGGGCCCATACACTATGCTCATATTTATAGCATTTTTTCACATCTCAGTTGAGTCAAATACGTATACAGTGAATGGTAAATGCTAAAACATAAGAAAAACTGCAGCAAATTAAAAAGTTTAACATCCTTCTGCTTTGCATATATTCTCATCTCATCTTTAAAAAGAAATCTAAATTCCTTTTTTAAAAGCTTTAGTTGTGGGTTTGACAAACACTTTAAAGGGACAGTTTGGATGTTTTCATGTTGAGAAAGGTTAAAAACAGTTATTATCTTAACAGTTGTCGATGGCTCTTATGGAAAAATGGAGAAATCATATTGTTGTAATCTTAAAAATGTATGCAAACACTTTTTTTACTAGCCATTACACCACCTTCAGTTTCACATCATGTGGTTATTCAAATGGAAACATTATGATGCTCTTTTTTACACATTAATAAAGCAATGTTTGATTGAATCGTAACATTTTGTATTATAATTGTTTAAGAAGGCGTTGATCAAATTTGTTCCAGCTCAGATTTCTTATTAGTTTTTCAGTCCAGTTAAACTTAAATTTATTTCTGCAAACTTGAGACAATCAAAAAGCTATCTAAAACAGATAAGATATTAAATGTTAACTACAGAAGTTGCATTTCTGGAAAAATAAGTGTGAATGAAAAAATAAATAAATAAAAAAAGTATGAAATCAGTCAGCATCTAATAGAGCTAAATCTAAATTTGATGAAAAATAACTAATATAAGCATAAAAATGCTCAAATGAGCACAAAGCATCTAAAAAGAAGCACATAAAGCTTAAACTAGCAGATATAAGTTGTACAAAGCAGACAAAAGCTGAAATTAGCAGAAAGAAGCTGAAAGACCGGCCCATGGAGCCCAGTCGGGCACAGCCCGAAGAGGAGACATGAGTCCCCCTTCCCATGGGCTCAGCACCTGTGGGAGGGGCCAAAGGGGTCGGGTGCATTGTGTGTTGGGCAGTGGTTGAAGGCGAGGACCTTGGCGGTCTGATCCTCGGCATGAAGCTGGCTCTAGGGACGTGAAATGTCACCTCTCTGGTGGGGAAAGAGCCTGAGCTGGTGTGTGAGGTTGAGAGGTTCCGACTAGATATGGTTGGACTCACCTCGATGCACTGCTCTGGCTCTGGAACCAGTCTCCTTGATAGGCGTTGGACACTTTTCCACTCTGGAGTTGCCCATGCTGAGAGGCGCCGGGCAGGAGTGGGCACACTTATTGCCCCCCATCTCGGTGCCTGTACGTTGGGGTACAAAGATTTGGGCAGCTCTCTGGATTTACTATCAGCTGGACTAAATCTGCTTTTGTGCCTCTGTCTGATGGACTTGATTCTGGGTTCTTGAATAGCTTGCCGTTTAAAGTCTCTCGTGATCATTTTGTTTACCTCAGTATCACTATCCCTGTAGATTCAAAGCTGCTTTTTCAGTTAAATTATTTGGACTGACTCTCTAAACTCAAGAAATGGATTGACAAATGGAGGTTATTGCCATTATCATTAATCGGTCGTATTAACATTATCAAAATGGTAGTACTCCCTAAATTTATTTATTTATTTCAAAATATCCCTATTTTTCTCACTTCTGCTTTCTTTAAAACATTAGATTCCATTATTATACCATTTATCTGGGCATACAAACCTTCCCGGATCTCTAAGATACATTTGCAGAAGGCTAGAGAGGATGGTGGTTTTGGTCTCCCAGTTTTTCGGCATTGTTACTGGGCTTGTAATGCGAGAGCTTGGGCATTTTGGACCTCAGGAACATCTGGGGGGTTCTCAGCTGCCTCTTGCTCTGGTTGGCCTCAGATTGAATCCCATAATTCGTTAAAACAAATTTCAGCCTCTCTGCCTGCAATATTATTTTCTAAACCTGATATTCAAGTAAAGAGGCTCACTGCTGATTTCATACTCAGGAACTAGTTTAAGATTTTGACACAAATAAAGAGAGTCTTAAAACTGCCAAACCTGTCCATTTATGCCCCCCTGTGTCATAACCCCTGTTTTAAGCCAGGTCTGTTGGATCCTGCTTTCAAGCTCTGGTCAGATAGGGGCCTCTCCTCGCTCAAGGACCTCTTTAATAATAAAAAAGATTTTATCATACCCAGAGTTGCAATCTAAATTTGATTTGACCCCAAATAATTTGTTTCATTACTTACAGGTTAGGAGTTTTGCAAACCAAAAAATTCAGGTTCAAATCAGCTTTCACTGCAGCATATCTTCTATGATCTTCTTGTTAAACCTCCCACTTCCAGACATCTTGTTTCACAGTTTGTGAATGTTTTCTCTGCAACTACATCATCCCTGCACATTAAAGATGCATGGGCCAAAGATCTTGGAGTTTCCATTTCTGCTGCACTTTGGAACCAAATTTTGATAGGAATAAGAGACTGTTCAATTTACGTTAGACTGCAGTTAATCCAGTTTAAAGTGGTATGTCGCCTGCACTACTCTAAAGTACAATTTAAATAAAATATTTCCAAATCTTTCAAGTGTTTGTGACAGGTGTGGATGCCCTAATGCCACCCTTGGACACAGGTTTTGGTACTGCCATGAACTGACTACTTTTTGGTCTGATATTTTCTGTCGTTACCAAGCTGCGTATGGACTGCAAATTACTTCAAACTGCCTCACTGCCCTCTTTGGGTTATCTGACTCTTACACTACTCTTTCTTTGCCTGTGCTACAAGCTCTCTCATTTAGGATGGTTGTAGCTAAACGTGTCATTCTCACAGAGTGGAAATCTGCCTCACCTCCTTCTTTTAAGTGCTGGCTGAATAACATGGTTTCTTGTCTGTATCTCGAAAAAATACACTACACTCTCTGTGATAATGGGCCTCATGCAAGAACCGTTCGTACGCACAGATTTGTTCTTAAGTTGTGCGTACGAGTGATTTAGGAGAATTTGTGGCATTCACCAATGTTTTCG